AACGCGGGTATGCAATTCAAGTTAACTAGTCTACGTAAAGTATCATAGTTAACATGTCTAATCTACCGTGCCACACATTGGAAGACTCAAGCAAGTAAATAGAAGAGTTTACTTTATTCATTTTTGGTTTAACAACCATTACATTGAGTTTAAACATACCATCGGAAACATAACATTTTCTGACAAACATTCCACTTTTTGACAAAATGACTTTGTTCGACTCAAATACAATACGAAAACCATGCTTATTCAAAAGTGACCCGGATACAAGGTTCTTGCGAATTTTCGATACATACAGCACATTGTTAAGAGTCTGCTATTTCCTCGAAGTCATTTTCAGAACCACCTTGCCTTGTCCCTTGATTTCAGAAGTTTCTGAATTTCTCATGAACAACTTCTCTCCATTTTCAATTGCTTCGAAAGTAGCAAACAGTTCTTTATCAGAACACACATGCCTCATAACTCCGGTGTCAATCCACCATTCTTTTGGGTTAGAGCCCACCATATTCACTTCAGAAATGACGGCTACTAGATTCATCTCTGCCACATGATACGCCATGTAGTCAACCATATTTGCTTCTTTCTTCTTCTTTGGCAATCTGCACTCCGAAGACTTGTCACCCACTTTGTCACAATTAAAGCATTTTCCTTGAAACTTCCTTTTAGAAATTCCACCTTTAGGTCCTATTTTGGTCCCTTTACCACTGGATGACCCAACCTTATTTTTGTAGGTCTTACTACTTTGACCATGCTCTACAACGTTGGTTTTGGCAACACTAGGATTGAACAACTTCTTCTCGGAACTCTTGTTGTCTTCTTCAATTCGAAGTCTAACAATCAGTTCTTCGACGTTCATTTCCTTTCGTTTGTGCTTAGGTAATTCTTGAAATCTTTCCATGTGGGGGGCAATTTTTCAATAATTGCAGCCACTTGGAAAGTTTCACTTAACACCATCCATTCGACATGAATTTTGTAAAAAATTACTTGGAGTTCTTGCACTTGACTGATTATAGTTTTGGAGTCCACCATTTTATAATCTAAGAATTTGCCGACAATGAACTTTTTAGCCTCGGCATCTTCAGTTTTATATTTTCGGTCCAAAAACTCCCACAAATCCTTAGCAGTTTTCATAGTGCTATACACGTTGTATAGCGTGTCTACTAAATTGTTCATAATATAGTTTCGATATAGAAAATTCCAAATGGTTCCAAACGTCAAGTGCACTGATCGCTTGAATATCTCTCTCACCCTCATTGAGTTTTGGAGCAATTTCAGTCAAGAATCTCGCAAAATTCAAGGTGGTCAGATAAAATAGCATTTTCTACTACCACCTCTTGAAATCCAAGCTATTAAATTCCTTCAATTTTTCATTATGATTAACCGGAACAGTAGCCACAGGTTGGCTCACAACAGGACTGGCAAGCTAGCCACAGTCTGAGCCCCAACAGAACTAGAGCCCACAGCCTGATTTCCAGTAGCCACAACTTGGGTTACATCCATATTAGTTTGTTCGGTTGCCATTTCTGGAAATGAAACAAAAATATTAGTTTTCAATAAACTAATATTAATTTTCAAGAAATCAAATGAAACAACTTATTAAAAGAATTTGTTTTAACCTAGTAGGATAGTTGTTTCAATTTTTTTTTATACCGGATTTACAATTTATAACTTGATGCAAAATATCTTAAATACAGTATTTACAACAGTTACCGTATTTGCACATTAGAACAGATTAAATTATATAAAAAGTAATTGCAGTAAGTAATTAAAAGATAATTGCAGAACAGTAATATGCGAAACGATCAACAATAAATTATTAAAACAAACTGTTAAAGAAAAAACTTTTAACCCGAGGTCTGTGTTACACACAGTTTCCTTAAAACAGATCCGTCCCCTCACCGTACGTGCTTGAGGTATGATACGAGTGTCTGTCTTCCAGGATACAACAGAGAAACCAGTAAAATCCAAGCACAACTGATTCTACTCCAGCGAAATGAACAAGTGTCTGAAAAATATCACCACAGACTCGAACAGAAATAGAAAATGCAGGATGTTTTACATATAGTTTCCTTAAAATAGATTCGCCCTCTCACCGTACGTGCTTGAGGTATGATACGAGCGTCTGTCTCCCAGGATACACGGAAAAACCAGTAAAATCCGATCACCACAGACTCGAACAGAAATAGAAAATGCAGGAAAACAGAATCTGTATGCAGATGAATTTACAAATGAAAATTCATGTACTGAACTGTGGAAAAAGGAGACACATATAAAGACTGGCTGCCCATTCATTTCATAGCAATTAAAACAGGAGTTTCAACAATTTTGAAAAACCAAAAGTCTGTTGAAAATTAACAAAATGTGGACACTCCTAAGGGGCCAATTTTGCTCCTTTCGATCCGACATTTGTGTACGCAGGTCGCACTCGCACACAAGTTCAAAGTCCGAAGCCTATTTCGGTCCACTATTTGCACCCCCTACGCGCGCACGTGGAGAGAGTCTCTATGCTACACATGATTACACCATTCTAAAGTGTAATCTTTTATAATGTGGTTTTATTTTTATCCACTTCCTATGTGGGACAAACCTTATTTTTAGTTTTCCCACCAACATAAACTCCTTTCACATGGCTCACTTTGAGCTTCAATTTCTCATTCACCCGAGCATCATTTTTGACAAGTAAGTATATGATTTCGATGTACTCACGGAGGAGAAGACAGAATCGATAGACCTCTTCCCTATTGTCGACAGATAGGCGCGTACTTCTTTTCTTCTTCCTCTTTAAAGTTCTCTCCCTTCATTGATTGATCTTGTTCCCATTGAAAGAGAAAGAGAAGGTTCCCTCCTAAGCACGGCAGATGCTGTACACTTGAGTGTTAGATAAGCACAGAAAAACATGACTTGTGGTACGATTGAAAGTTGATTTGTCCTAAATCAATGAACAAACTTTTAGAATGTAGTCTAAGTAGGATGTGCCACACAATTGGGTTTGTCCACCACAAGTGAAGGGTCCACATATCTCCATGAGACATTTAGAGGGTCAAATGAGAATGACAATTCTGGAGATGAAATCACGTAAAGGAAATTAGAATGGGACAATTTAAGGGCTAAGTTGTATTTAATTGACGGTCAAAATATTTTGATCGACGCGTGAGAGTGGGTCGTATGTACTCCTCGAAGTATTGTATGGGTAATGATTCCATCTGCTTCAAAATTTTCCTATCATTTCATCAAGACTTTGACTTGTCCACAAGAAAAGGAGTCTAACTTTTTCAACTTTTAATAAATCGAAACAAATTTGGATGCATTAAGTCACAAGAAAGTTAGAACTATTTTTTCACATAATTCAATCTAACAATTTGAAAAATTATCAACTTAATTTGCACCTTCACCAAACCTCAATTCAAGAAAGCGCGAAGCCGAAGGCTAATGGACCTTGAACTTTTTTCAACTTTTTCCCTAAAGAAGAGGCATTCACAGTGTATGTCATGAGCCGATTTTATATGTTTTGATCTGCTTTCTTACATTTCTATCAAGGGATTTTTATTTTTATTTTTTTAGGACTTCTCATCTTTTCTATCTTTCATTCCTAAGGTAGATTCGAAATAATCTGTTGAGGCTCGAACCTTTTATCTATGATGTGCTCCAAAAAAATTGGCTCAAAGTCGTGTTTCTGATGTACCCGTTTTTCTTAATGGTGCACTTATTATGAGATGGTGACACGTGGTCTATCTCTGACCCTTAGATTATTGCTTTGATGGTGTGAGATATATATACGTGTACAAGACAAGATATTTTCACTTGGTTCTGTCTTTTGAGTTCTTTATCTTCTGGGTTCTTCTGAGAGTTCCATTTTCTTGTAGATTAGGGTTTGGTTATTCGTGTTCATCTCTCATGATGAACTTGTAAATTGAGATCATATTAATTGTTAGCCTCTGTAATCTGTTTATTTGAGCGATTGCTGTGAAAATAAGGGTTTTCTTGTAGTCGCGATTTCAGTCGACTGTTGTGGGGTTTCTTTTGTGATTCCCTTTAGATCTGCAGTTCAATGTGAAAGAGATGAGTGTTTTGTGCTTTTCTCTTGTGTTTGGAAGAACTATTTGTAACTTGTTGTCATTTTGGACTTATTAGTGCAACCGAGTGAATATCCATTATTTGGATACTCAACGGGGGATGTAGACGTTAGATCTGGTCGTCGAACATCTGAGACTTAGGCCGAAATAATTCTGTGTTCAATATTTACTTTTCTGCAAAGTTTATTTTCTGATCTGTTGATATTATTGGAATCTTGTTTTAATATCGTGTGTTGTGGGCCTTTTCATAATCCTTTGTCAGTAACATTCAAATAACACACCACACAACATAGGTTCAACAAGTAATGACTAATCGAACTTTCGTAGTGGAGCAACATAGATTTAACAAGTAATATCTACGCGAACTTTCGAAGTGGATTGACTGGAAAATCTGAAAATACAATCTTTGTTTCCATATGTTATCTTGTTTGAAAATTTTAAAAGTTATTAGAAAATAATTTATTTATATATACCTTCAACACCTTGCTTGATTACGATCTAATCATTACACAATATTCTATATATTTAAAGAATAATGAACGAAAAATTCCAACAAATTACTCAAGTATACGCAAGAATAATATGCAAATAAATGCATCACAAGTTGACCAATAAACAAGTAGGAATTCAACTGTCACCAGCCGTCTTCATAATTCATATGAAACATTCAAATCCAAATTAAACAATAATCAGAATATCAAACTTGACGTGGGATGCACGATTCCTTAACAAATGAATTCAAAGCTTGTAAATTTAATCTTTTTTTCTGCAATAAAAACTTCACATGATTCCTCCCGTTAAAGAGAAAAGTAAACAAGACTGTTCAATTGCATGAAAAGTAGGCTATATTTATATCTTTTTTTTCTTCTTTGTGGTTCTTATTTATCACCATATTGAGTCATTGTTCTGTAATTTCAGCTGGCTGAGATGACGATCCCACAAAGAAGTTTGCTCAAAATAATCCTCCTCGGCGATAGCGGGTGCGGTTTTGTTTTAGACCCTCTTAATTTTCTGTTCTTCAAGATTTTTTTTTCCAATAAAAAGTTTATTGCAAAGGTTTATGTTATATGTTCTAAGTAATTTGTATTAATTTTCGCCGAAAATGTATTTTTGTGATGATTTATTTTGATCAGGGTGGGAAAGACATCTTTGATGAATCAGTATCCTTCATTTCACGCTTCAATATGTTCATTTTTGTTTTGTTTTCAATGTATGGATGCTTCTGATCAATCATTCAATTTTCGCACGTGGGACGTCTAAAACTAAAAAAAAAAAAGCGTGTTTTATCGAATTCATATGGCTCGGGCACCACGACTGCCTTAATAACGAGTTTTGTATGCTCGACTAACAGATTTTATCGAAAGCCTCTCGTCTATAATCTTATCTAATCACCTGCACATAAAAATATGCGTTAGTAGTTGATTGGCATGTATACATATTATTCCGGGAAGATGAAAATTTTGCTACAAGAGCTGAAGTTTCTACAAGAAATTTCACTTTTAAAGTTTTAATGATGAAAATTTTCATCGTCCAACAAGATATTTTATGTTGTTTCATTGAAAAAGGATTGTCGAGAGACTTTACAAGACAAACAATTTCATCGTTAAAAGTCAAATTTCTTGTATAAGCAAGCATTTCTTTTTCTTCTTTTTTAGCTTGTGATATTACACATTCCCCCTCAGCTAAGGTGTATTTGTTTAGGTGTTTTTCAAGAAACACACTTGATTGTATAGTTCTTTAACCATGATTCAAGATATGCTTACAAAGTATTTCGAAAACAGTACAAAACAACGATTGGTGCTGATTTTATCACCAAAGAATTAGTGATCGATGACAAACTGGTCACTTTACAAGTAAGTTATTGAGACAAACAGTACAACATACAAGATTTTAGCCTTTTTTTTCTTTCTTTCTTTCTTAATATTGTCGAGTACTGTTGATCTGCGCTACAAAATTCACGTGCCATTAATGATGTTTCTATATGAATGCATGAATTGGAACTTGAACAGATATGGGATACAGCAGGCCAAGAAAGGTTTCAAAGCCTAGGAGTTGCATTTTATAGAGGGGCAGATTGCTGCACTCTTGTGTATGATGTTAATGTACAAAAATCATTTGAAACACTTCAAAATTGGCATGATGGATTTCTCAAACAGGTAAATATTTATGATTTTACACCATATTCAGCTGATGAATTAATGCCATGTCATCCATACGATTCTTGTGAACACTATACAATACAATAAACACGATTTTAACTTGTATATATAGCAATCATGGTCGTTGCTATGTATTCCATGATGTTTTTTAGTACTTTAACTTTCTCAGTACAATGACTCCAGGTCCACCCTGCAAACCCTGAGAATTTCCCCTTTGTACTGATTGGGAACAAGGTGGACGTCGATGGAGGAAACAGTCGCGTGGTAAGGGCATATAGTCGTAAAATTTTTGTTTAGTCGAGAACTCAATAAGTCCTTTCGACATTGTAAAAGTATCCCTTTTGTCCAGGTCTCTGAGAAAACAGCTAGAGAATGGTGTACGTCCAAGGGAAACATACCCTACTTTGAAACCTCAGCTAAAGAAGATTACAATGTAGATGCTGCATTTTTGTGTGTTGCTGAAACTGCACTTTCCAGTGAGCCAGTAAACATGTAAACCATTGTCTTTCTTATGCATATGCTTACATGTTTGATATGCTCGACTCGACAGTATTATACAAGATTAACCAAAAAAAGAAGTTAAAATCTTTTCCGTTGTTCTGTATAGTACCGTCTACTAATGTTTACTAAACAAGTCCTTCATTTTTGCATAAATTGCCGTTCTCATCCATGTTAATTCAACCTTTTTTTTTTGTCCAGTTGGGAGATGGATGAAGAGATGCCATCCCATTGGTGAGTATTCCCATTTTTTAGTTATCGACAAAAGACGAGATATTTTTTTTTTTTATGATTATATTGTTGAGTACTTTACGGAAGTGGAATAGTGTAAAAAGTACCGGCGACTGTCTCATTGTACACCGGTCTTTATGCAGTGATCTCCAAGAATCCATTTCTGGAACTGAGCACAGAGGAGGCTGTGCATGCTGAAATCAGGCAATCAAACATTTGGAATTTCGATCTAATCTATTCATTTAATTCTTCATATTTTCAAATTATTTTGTTAATCTAGTTTTCAATGCAAATCAGGTAGTATCTCTTAAATGTTGTTACCCAACTAGACTAGTACGGAAAAAGTTTGAGAAAACATTTGTTAGATATTGTACTATACTTCAAGTACTTGCTAAATTAAAGGACTTTGTGTACTTTAAATTTGTCAAATCAAAGTGTTTAGAGAAAGTAATAAGTTTTCAAGACAAAATCTTTATTAATATTTACTATAGTCTCGCACGTACGGCTGCATGTCTGCTTGTTTGCGCTGTCTGCTGTGCTCTTAGCTTCTTTAAATTGACTGAATCAGGAACTAGCCTTCCACCCATTTGGGTCTCTCTTTACTTCTCCTGCTTTTCTACCTTACTTCTATTTGATTTTACGCTAACGATACCACTGGTCGATCGAAAGCTTTCCATTTTGCAGAGTTTTCTCAAAGTCGGGATATGTGGTTCGGTTATAAGCCTACGTCAATGGTAAGAAAGTGGCCAATAAAAGGTTACAATGTAAAAATTGAATATTAAAAGAGCCAGGGCACGGGCGGATCCAGCATTTTCGTTCAGTTAGGGCAGAGACCGTTGACTATTGACCGGTGATCGATGATCGTTGACCGATCGTAATAGCCAAAAATAAAATTTAATACATAAGTAAATGCACTAAAACATAAAAAGTATATACATATGAAAATATAAATCAATACAACCCATAGTTTCACAATTCACAAATTATAAATCATAACTCATAGTTTCAGACAATAATATAACATAAATTCTCATTTCTCATAATTCATAAAAAAAATATAACTCATAAATGCATAGTAATACAACAAAAATTCTCATTTCTCATAATTCATAAACACAAATTCACAAAAACTAAAAATAAAATAAAATAAAATAAAAACCTAAAATCACAGATTCATTATTCATAGCATTATATCAACTAGCCAAGCCAACTACTAGCAATATTGAAATGAAGAAGAAGCCAAATACCTTTTTCCCCAAGCCCCAGTCGACAGTCAGTCCCCTGAGCAGAGGAGTAGCAGTGCAGTCAACAGACGATTGACGAAGCTCCACTTCTCCTCCAGGCTCCACAGTCCACTCGTCCACCGCTCCAGGGACCAAATTCCTGTAGGAGATATTACACCGATAATGTGCATATTATATTCATCAAGAGCATGCCGTTAATATGCGTGAAATCGAAACATCATTCGACTTACCGAAATCTGATTTGAGAAGATAAAATAGCGAGATC